AGTTTGTCCTTGATCTCTCCGTATAGGATGGGAGTAGTCGAGAACAGTACATAAGAGTTGGATGCTGGGATGGTGGTTGCTACAGCTTGACTCAGGAGCCTCCTTAGAAGTTCGTTTGGTCTGTTCCCCTGAAATGGGACCCTGATGAATATTTGCTTCTTCTCTGCTGTTAACACTGCGGGCTTTGGCGGCCTTTCGGCCATGGTTTTAGCGATAAATCGACTGGGATACCCATTTTGTCGAAACACGCCTTCAAGAATCTTACTCTCCTCTTCAATGCTATCAGTCGAGCAAATCCTTTTCGCCCTTTTCGTCAAGCATCGTACTAAATTACGTTTGAAGTTTACGAAGCAAGCAAAATGGATGTATTGACCAAACCACGTCTTCTTACGATATATCTTCCATTGAATGCTCTCATCAGCCCTTTTACTCAGTATTACATCAAGGAATAGGAGCGATCCAGATTGTTCTGCTTCTACTGTAAACTTGTTAGACAGTTGCGCCTGATTAACTGTATTCGTGAGAGCTGAAAGGTTGGTTTGGTCTGATGCAACCGCGAATACATCATCTACGTAACGTCTGTAGTACGTCAGATTATTTATTTTGTTGCCAAGTTGCGCAGCCTTTAGTTTTCCCATGAATATATTTGCTAGAAGCGCACCCAGGGGTGAGCCCATAGCTACTCTTTCCAATTGCCTGTACATGTTGTTGTCGAAAAGGAACTGTACATTCAAGGTATATTTAAGTGGCAATTCCTTGAGTGCATTTAGTGGTACTCCTACGTCCTGGTGATTCGAGCTAATGAATTCACAAATGTAATCTACTGTTTCTGTGAGCGGCACGTTTGTGAACAGGGAGGAGACATCCAGTGAAAACATCACTGTCCCGTTCACGTCGAGCTCTTTCACACCGTCCACGAATTCGAAGGTGTCTCAGAGACTGTATAGGGCTAGTTGACTCTGTATGGGTTTCAGTTTTTCCGCTAGCCGTTTAGATGTCGCATGGTACGGCAAATTTCTCATATCTAGGATGGGACGTATGGGTACGCCATCCTTGTGAGTCTTCGGTAAACCGTACCGCCGAGGTATGTGCGTGCCAACGAGGCAGAGACGTTCTAAGTCGTATTCGTTTATAAAACCGTCCTTTAGAAGTCTGATGAGAAGCCTGGTGAGAAGTATTGAAAACAAACGTTTGTTCGCCGATTCATCTTCTGCATTTTTCGATGGGAGTTTTCGCAAATATATATATCTATATGAGAAAACAGAGCGATCCCGAGATCGCTCTTTCTTCTCATTTATGTCCGAGAACTCGCATCTTGGCTTCTATTGGCAATATACATACATTAATATTTCGGTAGACGAACTTCTTTGGGAAAATGTTGTTTATTGAGTGAATTTTTGGCACTGGCTCACCAGGTCGTCATCAGACGGATGAGCATCGTACAAAACTGTCGGTTTATATTTTTATGCTTAACGGTGTGGACTGTGTAAATTTAGATTTTCGATCGCAATTCTGAATGCTATGCATTTGAAAGGGAGGAGGCCAATAAAACTAACTATTAAACATGCTGGAACGTTAGAAACGTATAGTTGTTCAGGCACGCAATCCTGACGTGTCGCAATAGCCGGCCATGGTCTTTCGCACTATCAATGTAGGATTTTTTTTACCAATTTAAGCATGTGAGAAAATAACTTTTGATGAAGTAAAAAGGGAGTATTCATTTTACTTAGCTAAATGGATGCGTGGAAACACCAACGATAGGTAGAAAAAGTTAAAATATAGTTCTTCTAAGCCAAAAATTACACTTAAAAGCGTGTAAGAGTACAAATAGGTGCACAGTCTAAAAACTCTAACAAACGCGCCGGCCGCTTGCCGACCACAGGCATCACGCGTGCTAAAAATGACATCGGTATTAATTATTCGCTAAATCCTGAGCTACTTCCCGATGTCATGCTACAAAAAAACGGGTGAATATAATATGAATACAGGGGGTTTAGGGACGGCCGAATAAATATGTTGGTGACTCTACGACTAGTAAGCAAAGAGCTCGTTAATTACGATTTAGGCCATAAAAACACAAAAGAAAGAGGCAAACAAGTTACGCAGTTTTTTTACAGCAATCTTTAAGACAATAACTGCAAGCAAAACTAAACAAAGTGTGCTTACATATATAATTAAAGAAAAACCGTAAAAATGCACACGACGTTGAGGAGCTAAACAGTTCGGCCATTAAATCCAACTTGTGCCACAGGGAGTATATGGAATACCAGTAACTTGCACAGAATTTGTTTCTAGTTAATCAGTCTTGCACGAAATCGACCGTAGACTCTACTTTAATCCAGCCACCCGCGATGGAAAGGTAGTGTCAAAAGAACCGGGGCTTACTCCAGTTCAGTGATAGCAAATTCTGACCAGGGATATAATAACAGTATTTTAGGGAATTAGGGAAAAGAGGTGAACTAAGTCATATCAGCCGCATATTTATTTTTACTACATTTTAGGTTGTATTGGCAAGCTTACCACAGCCAAAAATGTTTTTTAAACGCTTTTTGCCGAATGCTTCTTCACGAGGCCTATTTTTTATTATACTTCCGGCTCCCTCTATAAATTTTTTCTCGCATACCCCGTTTTGTCTCCAATTTAAATTCCGAGAAGAAAGTCTTTGACGGTTAGTTTTTCCGAATCAGAAACAGTAATTCCACGTCAAAGTGCGTGGTTTCTTTATGAACTTTTTCTGGACAAAATCTATCACATAGGGAACTTTACTGCTAAGTGAAAAACTAATTTGGGAAATAATGTGAAGTCCTTATGTCAGGCTGCCTTCTTTTAGTTTATGCGACAATGGTGGGTAGAGGGACCGTTTTAACTTCCAACTTGTTCGTTCAGGAGCCCTCAACTGAAACGCT